AAAGAACTATATAATAATTGGAAAAAGGACCAATTGTCCACATACTGGAGACAAACTCCAGGACTGGGACAGGCAAAAAGAGTCATCACAAAAGAGGGTAGAACAGGTCCTGTCTACACATGAACAGAAATAACATCAGATTGGTGGTCGAAGTGCTCACCAGACAGTTCAGACAATGCCCAGTGAAATATCACCCAAAGGAAATAGCAGATTTTGAGACTCCACAGCTGAAACCATAGAACATTTACTCTGCGATTATCCAGACCAACTCTCGAAAAGGCTCAAATACCTCCAGGGGGACTTCCCAACACCCCCAAAAGTTTGTCAACTATCCCTCAAGAAAATAGCTTCCTTCGCAAAAAGACCCTAATTTCTTGGACACCAACTAAGAAAATAGCTACCTATGTGCCTTGAGAAAAAACTGAAAATACTTCGATATTAAAATATATTTAGGTGCTTTCCTTTCTTTATGCGTTTTGTAAAATTTGAGTAGCCCCCAGTGTTTATTTAAAATGTATTAAAAAGTTACTTTTTTTAAACATTTTTTTTTTCTTCTTTTACTCCCTTCTAGACGCCACTGAACTAAATTTTCGAGTGTTAATATATACCACGTTTTTCTATTTAATTTTCTAAGGAGAACAAAAAAAAACTGCATGCTTACATCATTAAAAGTGCCACGGCAGGAGAAAAATGACCATAAGCCCCCCGGCTATACTATAACACATACTTCTACTTTTCATTTGATCGAGAATATTGTGAAAGGGGTGGTTTAAAAGTAGGTATGAAAATAATAAGTTGTTTTTAGTTAGCCTGAAATATGTAATATTTTTAGAATTTACCAATAATTTATGAAAGTTGGTCTAGGCGATGACGTTCCAAATCACCAAAATATAGAATATAGGTGTGTCTTGAAATCCCTAAAACTCCTCCGAAATCATTCGAAATCACCCGAAATCCTCCGAAATTACCCGAAATCACCCGAAATCCTTCGAAATCACCCGAGATCCCTCAAAATCGCTCTAAATCCGAAATCTTGTCACATTTTTCCCTTACTGATTAACCCCTCGGAATTACTTATAGTCTAGGAAAATAGTCGAAAAATACATGCATTGCAAAAAAAAAATTCCTACCCAAATGAACTTTTCAGGGATGATAGGGGGCGGGTGGGTGATCATGAAACCGAAAATATCAAGCATTCACCCCTCTGGCGTTTTGCGCTATAGGGGTTGAAAGTGCGCCATTGGCGATTACTTGGTACCTATTGATTTTACAAAAAAATGTTTCAAATAAAAGATGTGCAGCATTATTTGATCTACAATGTTTATCTAAAGACTTTTTTGATTAAGGGCCGTCTGTGGTCATAAGGGCTGTTTGAAATTTTATAATGAAAATGAAAAATTTTAACCAACGTGAAAAAATTTTCTACAACACATGCAACATTTTTGCTTTAAGAAGTTTTTACTCACCCCCTGCCGTTTTTCAATAGGGGTAGTTTGAAGTTTTTTATTTTTTTTACAAAAAAATTTTCTTGATAAAAGTTTTATAAGATTACATTTCTCACAATTTTTCCCAATCAACTTTTTTTGTAACTCACCCCCATTCAGCGGGAGGACACTTTCCTTAGGGAAGTTTTAGTTTTTAGGGGTACATATCAATTTTTTTTTTCTTTTCTCGCCTTAAGTGCATATAAAAAGGTGCAATTAACATTGTATTGAAAGGATTTTTTTTCCACCACCTTTTTGTTTTTAGGGGTAGTTCACCTATTTTCAACTTAACAAAAAAAATTTATAGAGAAAAGTTGTTCAAAATAATAAAATGAACAAGTTTTCTCAATGTCATCTTATAAAACTTTTATTAAGAAATTTTTTTTGTAAAAAAATAAAAAAACTTTAAACTACCCCTATTGAAAAACGGCAGGGGGTGAGTAAAAACTTCATAAAGCAAAAATGTTGTATGTGTTGTAGAAAATTTTTTCACGTTGGTTAAAATTTTTCGTTTTCATTATAAAATTTCAAACGGCCCTTATGACCAGAGACGGCCCTTAATTAAAAAAGTCTTTAGATAAACATTGTAGAGCAAATAATGTTGCACATCTTTTATTTGAAACATTTTTTTGTAAAATCAATAGGTACCAAGTAATCGCCAATGGCGCACTTTCAACCCCTATAGCGCAAAACGCCAGAGGGGTGAATGTTTGATATTTTCGGTTTTATGATCACCCACCCTCCCCCTATCCACCCCGAAAAATTCTTTTGGGTAGGAATTTTTTTATTGAAAATCGACAATTTTCCTAGACTACTATGCATTCAGGTAAATCGTTAATGAAGGTTGCAAAAAGAAGAGGGCCCAGATTACTTCTCTGGGTAACCCCTGATGTAGCCAAAATCTCATGTGACAAGAACCCTCAAATCAAAATGAAATAGATACTTAATTGTTTTTGTGAAAAATAAAAGTATATCAATACTAAACTAGTCATTCAACTATGATATTTATTCAAGCATTTATCACGTTTTTTTTTTTTAAATCTGCCTGTGGAGAATTGTTAGGTACTCAGAGCATGGTTACAAACGTTATGAATGATAAGTAGTAGGAACTTGCATCAAAAGTTAATATGTTTATAGAATTTTGTAGTTGTTTTTCCAAGTGTTTTTCTGAGTGTTTCTCACTACTAGTTGTGCTATCTATTTGACACCTATAAGTCTCATAATATAACTCAAATACTAGAAATTTTTTTATGTAAAAACGTCATAACCAAACGTTTGTAGATAAAAAAAAAAATATATATAACAATATTTTCATATTCACTTGCCATTTGCCAAGAAGGTTTCTTAAATCAATATGGCATAGATTATACTCAAAAAATACTTTCTCGTTGTAGAGAAGGATGGTATAGCAGTAAGAAATTTTTATATTATTATTATTATTAGTATTAAATCTCTGATCAATTTTATCAAAATAGACAAATATATTTAAAATTTCTAAAAAATTATTCAAATAATGGATTTCCCAAAAAAATCACTTGATTCAAATCAGGACTTGAATCATGATTTTAATCATGCCAACCCTGTAATAAAGCTAGGGGATAAGCCCCAAAAATACCCAAAATTGAATATGTAAATAACACTGGAATTAATGTATTTGGAATTAATTAGGGCCTGATTGCATTGAAATGCATTAATAGTAACATAATTTTGAGTTAAAATAAGCCGCCAAATCACTTCCTCGAAATAATTTTACTGATAAAGTTACCCTCAACTGCTACGAGATAATGTTACACTTGGAGAGTATTCACATGAGTTCAAAAATCAAATAAACAACTTATTTGGTATTTATTTAGGGCCTGATTAGATTAAAATGCATCAAAATTAACATAATTTTGTTATGAAATAAGCCTCTACCATTCCTACCATTGGAAAATGGTAGTTAATCCATGTTTGGAAAATGGTGGTTAATCTTTTTTTTATTGCAGGTATAAAAGACAAATAACAATTAAAATGTAGTGTTTCTTTGAATTTGTTATTTAATTATTAATAAAAGTGCTTGTAAAAGTGATACCTAGATACCTACCTATTCTATTTAATAAAATTTTTAAGTGCATTTTTTCTTGATTTATTTATTTGGATGATTTTCAGATAAACTTGCTGGTAACTAGGTACATATCTGCAAGCCAAATTTACCGTTCAATAATTCTATTGGTGGGCGGATAACTGGCCCACCAATGAGATTACAGATTGCGTTTTTATCCATCAAATTACATACCTGACAGTTTATCAGAAGGTGAATAAACCTGCATTTAGATTAATATAATATCTCAAATTATACGTAATAATAATTGAAGTGTCTGGATGGCTGGATATTGTCGCAATGAAGGAGAAAAACATGGAAACTTTTCCACTAGGTTTTTATTTTCCAGATAGAAATAAATTATCGAATATAATGCCACAAGAGGTTTCAGGATTACTGGATAATACTTTTACCTGTCACGAAACGCATTAAGCAGCAACACCACAACTCCAAAGGAGGAGTAGTGTTGCTGGTGATGCGTTGAGTGTCAGGTAAAAGTATTAGGTAATCCTGAAACATCGAGTGGTATTCAAAAGGTTATAAAACATACAATGAACTAAACTTCAACAGCTGTATGCAACATCCCTTTTTAACTTAAAAGCGCTTTTTAAAACTGGTACCTTTAAAAATTTGTGTGGTTCAGAATAAACATTTTTAAAAGGGACCAGTTTTAAAAAAGCGCTTTTTTAAGTTAAAAGAGGATGTTGCATACAGCTGTAATACTTCAAATGTAATTTTTTTCTATAATAGAATTTGCCATTACCATTGCCACCAAGTGCGATAATCCCAAAAGGCTTATCACTTGTTAAGCCTCTTGTGTCATATGGGAATAATAGGTCTGTTTCTGCAGAAATCACAAACCAGTCAGAGCAAAGTTCATTGGTTGTAAACAGTCAGAAAACTAGTTTCAACCAATGAAATTCACTTTGACTAGTTTGTGATTTCTGCAGAAACAGACCTACTGTACAGTGAGTTGTATAACCATTATAATAAAATCTATTTTTGGAGCAGGTGTGGTATGATCAAAAATAGGAAAAAAAAAACACCTATTGACATAGTTGTATTCCTTTCACACCTAGGAGGAGCTCCAGAATATGCTCCGGGGCGTTAGGTGCCTATCACTTTCGAAAAATATTTGTTGCACCTGAAGTGCTCAAGCCCGAATCAAACCATTTAAATGCACGAAAGCCAGCGCATCCTCTCAAATCAAGGTCGACTAACACCGGAGCGAGTAGCTCTAGTTTTGAAAGGAATACAACTATTATGATTCACTTTACTGTGCAAACAAATTTGAAAGATTTTGAGTAGATAATTGAAGAGGATCCTCGTATAGCTCATACATTAAAAAATTAGGTAATCCGAGGAATTACTTAAAAATTAATTACTTAATTTGCATTATTTTTAAAATTGAAAAAAAAAATTAAAAAAGAACTAACCTAGAATTAGTTTTCTTCGGCTTGCATGGGGCTCTTCTGTGTAGCACCACTCAAAATCGGTTCGGGAAACTCGTTGACCCATTGTGCCGGTATCAGATCGTTCACTATCACCAAAATGTAAAAATTAATCGGTTTTATTCATTGTTTAATTGATAAAAAGATAAACAATTTTATCAGACACTCCCCAGCTCCCGAATTCTTTATCAATTTTTGAATGAAGTTTGTTTTGATTTGACTTTTGATTTGATTTTGAAGATAATTTTTTTGACTTCGACAATCAACGTTAAAAAGGTTGCTTTCGGGTGTTCTCGGTTTGCGTCTTTTGGTTGCGGTTGGTCAGTGTCACTCTGATTGGCTCCGTTCGATAACTCGATAATAAACGAGACTGTTCGCCATATATTTCATTGATGAATTCTTTTTCAAATATTAATTTGAACAACTTTGCTTAACTAATGACGTACAGTTGCTACTTAATGGAATTTCGAATTAGTGGTCTTTTCTCAAAGAAATCACAAACCAAGCACAGCGAATTTAATTGGTTTGAAAATAGTCATAAAACTGGTTGTTGGAGATTTGCACCAGTCAAAAAAGCTCTCACTGGTTTGTGATTACTGTGAGAACAGGACCTTAGGTACGTCACGGCTGTGTTGTTCCTTTTTTTTAACTGGGAACGGATTTCTGCTGTACGATTATTTTTAATGAAAATCGTCGTTTCTTTTTTAGTTGGGGAGCTGGCGTCAAAAACATGCAAGAGTTTTCGCAAGGCGGATATTTTCAAAATAGGTCGTACTTTAGTGTTAGAATGCTAGTGTCACAGAACATATCACCTATAGAAAAATATCTCAAATGGAAGAATCGCGACAAAGGTTTTTAGTTAGGTTTTCATTCAACGATGGCGACACTGTCGGGAGATAAGAGAAATTTACAGGTATCTGTGGTGTGGACAGTGATTTGTGTTGGTTGGTTTTGTCATTTATTTTGTCATTTTAAAAGTCAAAATTTGAAATTTTAAATTGTGTTGTTGTACCCCACGGTTTCCACGCGCGTTAAAGTGAAAATTCAAAAAGTTTTGGTTGAAAAAAAACCTAATTTTTGTTCGTATTTTTTTGTATTTATTCGTTTGTTTCGTTTCGTTCGTATTTGTATTTATTATTCGTATTTACTTTGCGATCTATCTATAACTGCGTGTCTCTTGCTAACTTACTAAATCTTTTTGCACTATGTTCGACATCAGAAACTTCCTGCCAGTCATAGTTTTTAAAAAAATGAGGCGAAAAGAGCTAAGAAGAGTCAGCAAGCCAAATGCAGTTGAACATTAAAAATTATACAAAAATAATAAAAATATATGAAAAAAATCAATTCGCCTTTTTGTCAAGAATACTCGATTAGTTGGGTTTTCAGTCAAAGAGGGCGCCGTAATTCATAACCGGTACATACCATTGCAGATACTTTTCTAGAGGTGATATGTTCTGTGGCTAGTGTACAGTCAGCACTCACAGTTCCGGGACAGCTGGCTCTGGGACGCGGGCAAAGTTGTAATTTTAAGAAGCATCTAAACTGTTTTCTCAAAGCTCAAAATTTATAGAAATTTTGCACATTATCTGTTTGAAGGTCACAGATAACGTATGTAAATCGTCAGACGTCTAGTTCGTTGCAAAAAGGGGGTCAGACGTCCTCAAAGTTTTTATTTTATGGCATTTTCTTCAGTGTCCTGTCAAAATATATTTTTGCAGGTATTTGACACATATATTTGAAGAAAATGCCATAAAATAAAAACTTTGAGGACGTCTGACCCCCTTTTTGCAACGAACTAGACGTCCGACGATTTACATACGTTATCTGTGACCTTCAAACAGATAATGTGCAAAATTTCTATAAATTTTGAGCTTTGAGAAAACAGTTTAGATGCTTCTTAAAATTACAACTTTGCCCGCGTCCCAGAGCCAGCTGTCCCGGAACTGTGAGTGCTAACTGTACACTAGCATTCTAGCACTAAAGTACGACCTATTTTGAAAATATCCGCCTTGCGAAAACTCTTGCATGTTTTTGGCGCCACCTCCTGGACTATTTAGCCAGCATGCTGTATTTACTGGTTAATTTTCGAACGGATTTCAGAACTGGATTGTCAAAGCTAACCTAACTATTAACTCTGGAACTATTAAGCAAGGATAATACAAAATACTAAGGATTGCTTATTGGCCTCATTTTTGGGAAACGCAGCCATATTGTGTAGCACCATTGACGACGTCATCAACTACGTCGTCAGCTGTTTGCGCCAGCGTTCGTAATTTAAAATATACATGTATGATGAAAAATATTAATACTGTTTCCACATGTAGGAGAGAAGAACTGACAAAAATGTCTTCGGATCATATTGAAGACAAAGGAAATATTTTATTGATCAATATTCCAGACACAAAAAACCACTCTTCTAGAAGCTTTGCAATTTCTGAAGAAGCTGAAAATGGAAAGTTGCTAAATTTGTTCAGGGGGCCAATTTTTGACCATTCGTAACTATAGAAAGTCTACGTAAATGTACGAAGATTATGAAATCCTATATCTGAGTATTCGCATCTTTACGCATGCGCACATTTTTATACGTTTTTCTGCGAGCGGCGAGAGACTCGCCGATGTGTTGGGTATGCGCTGACGTACTTACATTTGTGGTTATATCGACCTTTATTATTTTATTTCGTCTGTCTTTCAATACTTGTGTGCGAACTTTGTGGCACTTGATTCCATTGAAAATGGAAGAACTAATGAATATGTTCGCAATACGAAATATAGAAATTGCAGAGCAAGAAAATCGACCAAACAACCAACATAAACGTTGAGATCCCTTCATAGAGCTTAACCATCAACAATTTATCAAGTTGTTTCGATTAACAAAAGATCTTGTTTTACATTTGATCGAATGTTTGGGAACCTTACATCCTTCCGGCACTCGGCACTGCGAATTACAGACTTCATTTTATAACTTTGCGTTTGTTTAACGCTAATTAGTTGCGTTTTCCTTTTCACATAGTCCACGAGCAATTTTTTCGGCTTATTTGATGCATTTACACTCGGTTTCTTCTTGTTTTACTACATTTTTTTCATAAAGTAAAAATTTGTCAAAAGTCGGCAGTTTACACAACCTATTTTTTTCCCTCATTAGTACAAAAATCTCTCAATTTGCAGTGTTGCCTGATAAACCTTGCGTATTGCTGCGAATGCTTAACTCAGACATTTTTTGACTTGCGCACGTCATCCAAAAATTGGTACAAAGAAAAGTAAACGTTTCATATCGTGCGCATCTTTAAGAATACGCAAATAAACGTGCATTCCCAAAAATTGGCCCCCAGGAAGTATGCGAGTTTAAAGAAAGAGTGAAACTCCACATAAACGTTTTTTTGTAAACTACAAGAAAGGAGCTTGTACAGTACAATGTATCGGAATAAACACCTTCGGAAAAATGCCATCAGAAATTGCAGAGGTTATCTGAAGTTCCCAAATCCTGAATTGTATATACGGGCCATAGTTTCCGACGTTCCGCCGCCACAATGCTTGCAGATTCTGGAGAAGGAATAACAAACATCAAACGTCTGGGAGGTTGGAAATCTTCAAGCGTCGCAGAAGGTTACCTAGAAAGTTCGACAAGTTTCCAGAGGAATCTATCCAATAAAATATTGAACTTCAGTGATGCTGGCGCTGGTCCTTCCACTAGTCAGCAACTTTCACCAGTGCAGTCTTCCAAAATGACCTCTTCTAGCCAAGTTTCTCCCCTGGCCACGATTGCAACAAATAGTGCTTTTGACAAAGCAGTGGAAAATCGAAAACCGACCTTCAAGAGAGAACTTTGGCATCTGCAATCAATTTACAGAATGCTACAAATTGCACGTTCAATATTAATGTAGTTAATAATAATTAATTTGTTTTATTTTAATGTATTTATTATAAATAAATTAATGCCTCTTTTGTGTGAACTTTTGGTTTTTTCCTCACGCCTGTAGAAAAAATAGTGTACCTAACACGTGCGTAAAGTGACTTTTCCGCACTTGTTAGGTAAACTACTATAAACCGCATCTTGCTACGATGGTCTGTTTTCGAGTTATAGTGGACTGAAAATCGGGAAAAAAGTCGCTTCCTTCTTGTTTTTTTTTTTTTGAGGTATGGTATAACTACATGAGACCTTCACAGATCGATGGAATAGGTCTATGGCCACCTGAAATGGCTAATTACAACATTTTTTCGTAGGTCCAACAATTTTTATATCAAAAAATGTCATAAATTTGTCAAAATTCAGTTTTCATACTTTTTCACACATACCTCGCGGTATCTCCGGAACTAATTGAGACAATTGCATGATTTGTTTTTTATTCTGAAGAGAATATGTTAGCGAAAATCACCAAGATAATTTTGTTTTTCTGAAAAACTCGCTTTTTTCGTAAAACTAGGTAAAACTTCAACTTACACTTTTTATGCAGTACTTTTTTCAGTAAGCGATAAACTTTTTTGTTTTAGGGATTTCTGCCATACTATCAGCGAATGAAGCAAAGCTAAGACATCAAGGAAGTTTTTGAAAAAAACAGCGATACTCTGCGATGCATAGTTTCCAAGATATCGTCACTTGAACTTGAGAGTTTTACCGGCCATGCACTACCCCGGGTACCTTGGCAACATTTGGCGCAGCGCGCGTCTTTCGACTGCTTGTTTTTTGAGCCTGAGTGCATTTTCATGATATATTTGAGCAAATTCAAATTAATAAAATCCATAACTTTGGTTTTAAATAATACTAGCACAAATATTTGCTGTTATTTTTTTTGCTAATTATTTTCATTAACTTGCTCCTCTAAATCATCATCCGAAGTCACGTCGGGTTCGGAAGTGCAAATACGCACACTGTTACTACTGCAGTTTGGATATTCGCATTCACTTCAACATTTTTATCCTTGTTAATTTCTTTTTCCAAATTTCCTACTACATACATATAGATATCATCTATTGATAAAAAAATATGTAGTTTTACCATGTCCTAACTGTAGGTATAAATAGACTTTGGAGAATTACTGGTATTATGCAGTGGACATGATTAAGTAACATTGGGATAGGACATCCAGTATCAAGAGATTTTACCAGAACTGCGTTAACTGATTTCAGTTATGTAAGGTATTAATCTGATATCAGCTTCTCCTTGAGTACTATTTATTTTTTCCAGATTTTTCGATCCTTCAATTTTACTTATTTTGGAACAAAGTTCAGAATCCTG